TATAAATGAGTGTTTGGTTTCCAATCTATCTGCACCAGCAAACACTGATCTCTTCATGGTTATTCATCTTGCTTTATGAGTTGTGCATACTGAGGGGTGGGCAGATCAGCTAATATAATATTTTTTTTTTTTTTTGCTGAAAAATATAATCTCTACTGAACAAAACTCTGGGCCAAAGCCTTTTCTCCTCTACCACCTTCCTCTCCCTTTTCTTTCCTCTTTTGGGAGTGCCCTTTGTGTATAAGTGAATTAATTACAATGTGAACAGTACCACACTCTACTGTCAGTTTATGTGTCTAACCCACTACTCATCCCTGCTTCTAACAGTGAAGTCCCTAAAGACAGATTCTACCCCAGTCATTTGGATGTCCCTAGTGCCTGGGCTCAAAGAATGTCTAATAAAAGGAACAAATATTTAAAAATAAATTTTAGGAGAAGGTTGAATCACAGTCATCCTAAGTCCTAAGCCTGAGGAGTTGACTTCCAAAAGAAAGGCTTTCACAGATAACCATAGATAGACAGGTGACCTTTGTAACTCTGAATGGAGAAGAGACAGAAATTGGAAAATTTTGTGGATTTTTTTCCCTTCATGGAATAAACAATCTGCCACAACAGAATTCTCTTCGCATGAGGGAATGACAGGAACACAGCCACCCACAGCTTCAGCTGACCACCAGAGCTCAGCTGATGAAATGGGGTTTCGTGTCTTGGTCCCTGACATGCATCTTGGGGGTGTCTGCTCATTGTTTCTGTGCTCACTTAAACATTTTTATAAACATTGATTTTTACCCCTCTAAAATGACAAACCATGTAAAATTGATCACTGAAAACACTATTGATAGATAGGTGTATCATATGTCCACCTCCATGGCTCTCTAATTTTCTTGTTATAATTGAAAATCAGTGATGATTTAAACTTGGGATAATCACTGATAAATCGATTAAGAGTTATCAAGTTAATTATTCCTATTTTACATGCAGCAACCTTAAAAATGATTTTCCTAAAGCAAAGTACATCAAAACTTGGTAAATTCCTTATAATCTTTGCTGAATGAATAACTGAAACGTTAACTAAAATTTAGTACATTGTTAATTCTTTTTTTTTTTTAAGGACGTATTTATTTGAAACAGCTACAAAGAGAGAGGGATCTTCCATCTGCTGCTTTACTCCCCAAATGGCTGCAACAACTTCTGGGTCATGCTGAAGCCAGGAACCAAGAACTCCATCCTGGTCTCCCACATGGGGGTAGGGGACCAAGTACTTGAGCCATCTTCTGCCACCTTTCCTGAGACACTAGCAGGGAACTGAACTGGAAGCAGAGCAGGCAGGCTGCAAACTGGCACTCCAGATGGTATGTCGGTGTTGCAAGTGGTGGCTTAACCTGCGACTGCACGATGCTGGCCCCTGTATTCTTAATTCATAACCAGGGGTAGCTTGAGTTTCTGCCTTGAAGTAGCACAGGAAAGCAAAGCTAGAGAAATTTCTGTAAGGAAGCACAGTCTGCTATGACACATGACGCTGGAGCTCATAGGACATAGTATTAGCCCCAACATGGGTTCAGAACTTCTTACTGTGGCACGAAGTCCAGGTCCCTCATTTCATTAAGAGGAAATCCCAGAGTACATTGCTGCAGGCACTGGCACTGGGCATTGTCCTGATCACAGCAGTCAGACATTCTTTTCTAGCTGTTTCTCGGGTCCTAATACCTGCCTTCCTAGCCTGGCATCTGGAGAGCAGTCCCGAGTTAGGGCACCTTTGGTGTACTTCCTCGTGGTTATTTCCAGCCTCTCAGAATGTTTCATTTTGGGAAGGTGAGGAAAGCAGCCCTCAGATTCATGCGATTAGTTTAATATTGTGGCACGGCTTTGACCATCTGTTTAATGGGAGATCTGCTTTCCAGATGACTGAACATATGGAGAAGAGAAGAGGGGTGTTTTGGGGGGTGGAGAGCGTTGAAAGAGTGGTTTTTCATTTGGTCTCAAAGTTTGGGGTAAAAGGTCCTCCAGGGAGCATTTTCACAAGTGTTTGAAGCTTGTGTTTGATTTTGGAGGTCCACTGGAGCCCCACCTGCATGTGACAGGTACCTCTGCATCAGCTATATTGATCACAGGGAATAAGGCCCATCCTTTTCGGTGACTTGTTTGACATTGATGTCATCTTCAAATTCAAGTCTGTATCCTTGTACTCTGTTCCCAGATATGGCTCCCTAGCTTCCCTATTAAGCTTTTCAGAATTTCCAGTATATTCAATTGCAGTTGACCACATATGGAGTCATTTAACCACGTCTTGCTTTTAAAGTCTGCCTTTGTCAGCCTGCTCTTGTTTTCTATTTATGTTTTGGTTCGTCTTTTGGAAGTTTTCTTTCCTCCCTCCTATTTCAGTGCCCTGCATTTGGCCATGGTCACCCCTCAGGCGAGGGTTGTGTTTCACGACAGTTGTTTATAGAGTTGCCTCTTCAGTCTCAGTCTCTAAAGTCCTTGCCCTGTATTGATGATCCTGTAGTAAGGCTGTGACTTACTAAGGCAGGGTGTCTTCTTATCCTCGTCATCCACAGAGGTAAGATAGCAAGGTCCTTGAATTTGTTCACACATGAATCTGTCCTATTTGTTGGAATGGTGAGGTCTCACTTATTTCATAGAGCCAGCTTAATAGAATGCGGAAGAGGCAAGACCAGCACTCAGATCTTCAGTGGCTGTCTACTCTAACCCCGTATGTGCCTAAAATTGAGATGGCACTCACCAGATTCATCCTTGTCACCCCCAGGACACACAAACAAAGGAAGTGGTGGAAATCTCTGGAGTATCTTTTGCATCAGAGAAATGTGGGAGATTGTTTGGTGCCCCAAACAAAGCCACTAGGTTAAACATTTCTAAAAATTGGTTATTGTTAATTTTAATAGTCCATGAATTTACATAATTCAAAGTCAAAATACTATTCCAAAGAAGTTTTCATTGAGAAGTCTTGTCCTGCTTGGATCTTGCCCACTCCAGTTTCCCTGCCAAACACACACCATCTCTAGGCCATCACTGGTATGTTTCTTGTGAATCTCCCACAGTGTGTTTGATGGCAAAACAAAGAAACGTGGCTATGCATTAAATTCATCTCTTCTTTTTTTTTTTTTTTAAAGATGGCATACCATGTCTGTACCTTGTTTTTATCACCTAACAATAAATTCTAGAGAGCTTTCCTTTTTGGTATATGGGGAATAACTTGTTTACAGTTGCATGGATTCTATTTTAAATATTATTGTAGTTTAAATACTTTCTTGTAGCTTGAAATTGGGCTATTTCTACTATTTTTACTATTATATACCTTATTCCAATTAATAACCTTGTATATATAGCATTTTGTACATTTGTACATTTATTTTCTAAGTAGAATTCCAAGGTCAGCAGGAAAATTCATTTATAATTTTGGTAGGTATTGCCTAATTTTCCTGCAAGGAACCTTAACTGTTTGTACTCTCATCATCAGTAGATGAGTATGTATTTCTCCATAGCCTCATGACAGTATGAGATGAGATGAGAAATGAGAGGCAAACTTTTAAGTGAAGTCTCTGTCCTTCACCTTGTCCCAGGTTTGCAGTGGGAACACTGCACAGTTCCAAGAGCTGACGCAGGCATCAGTTCCAATGGAAACAATGCCTCACCACAGACATGGGCTTAAACCAACTCTCATGGTGCACACAGAATCGATCCACGTTGCCACTTGCAGAATTTCCTGTAATGGAAAGTTGAGCATGCATTCATTATTCGCCTAACTAGCAATGCTGGAGCTAGAGCATGGCAGTGTTTACTAGAACAGAAAAGAAAATTGTTCCACCACAACACACTGCACACCAGGCTTTCAATGCTCTTTTCTCAGCTTTTCCTGGGACTGAGTTCAAAAGATGTATACCAAATCACAGAGAAAATCTTGCTAAGCTTTGAACTTTCATACCCAAGGGATGCTTTTTTGAGGAATGATCTTACATTTTCCTCTAGATTTCAAATTAAATAATTAGGGGTTGGCGCCATAGCTCACTTGGTTAATCCTCCACCTGCGGTACAAGCATCCCATATGGGCGCTGGGTTCTAGTACCGTTTGCTCCTCTTCCAGTCCAGCTCTCTGCTGTGGCCTGGGAAGGCAGTGGAGGATGGCCCAGGTGCTTGGGCCCTGCACCTCCATGGGAGACCGGGAGGAAGCACCTGGCTCCTGGCTTCGGATGGGCAGCGCCATCTGTAGTGGCCATTTGGGGAGTGAACCAATGGAAGGAAGACCTTTCTCTCTGTCTCTCACTGTCTATAACTCTATCTGTCATATAAATAACAATTTTTAAAAAAGAAATTAAGTAATTAGTTCTTTATAAGTTACATTGAAACTTCCATGGTACAGTATAAACTTTGAATTGTGATGCAATATTGCTGAAATTCTTCCTTAAAGTTTCCAGGCAGTTTTCTGCATTATACAAATAGGGAATCCTAAAAACACCATGATTCATGACTGAGATAACATTTCCACATTTGAAAAGTATATACCGCAGGTCACCCTCACATAATTCCTTACCATTCTCAGAAAGATTGATTCTCTATCTTGTTTTTATCTGAGGACAGAATAATGTGTTTAGAGAAAAAAATCCCATCAGTTCCACTGTATAGAAAAGTGTGGTAGGCTGGCACCGCGGCTCACTAGGCTAATCCTCCGCCTGTGGTGCCGGCACCCCGGGTTCTAGTCCCGGTTGGGGCGCCGGATTCTGTCCTGATTGCTCCTCTTCCAGTCCAGCTCTCTGCTGTGGCCCGGGAGGGCAGTGGAGGATGGCCCAAGTCCTTGGGCCCTGCACCCGCATGGGAGACCAGGAGGAAGTGCCTGGCTCCTGGCTTCGGACTGGCGCAGCGCGCTGGCCATAGCGGCCATTTGGGGGGGTGAACCAATGGAAAGGAAGACCTTTCTCTCTGTCTCTCTCTCTCTCACTGTCTAACTCTGCCTGTCAAAAAAAAAAAAAAAAAAAAAAGTGTGGTAAATGTAATCTGGCCGAGGCTCCATCTGAGGCTCCGTTCAAATGGAATGACCAATCCAAATGGTCACTGTTTTCTTCTTTTTCTATAGGATTTTTGACAAGGTCACTTTAAAGGGGAAAGCATCACTTCTCTATGAAGTAATTCCACTTGGAGAATTGCATTGATGACTGTACCTGGTCTACGCAAGAGATCATTCCGAGGCATATAAGGGTGGCCTGCCAAAAGCTAGCTGACACACCTCTGACAAATACACATTTTCTTTTGTTGATAATACCTGTGAAAGCTTTCACAACAGGCATTTCCAGTTTTGTTCTCAGGCTCCTAGCAGTTGCTTCTCTAAGAGTCTATGCTTTGCCAGGGGCTGACTGTTGACAGAAGCAAGGTGTTCTATCTTTTGTGCTGTCATCATCAACCCCTCCATGCACATTCAAGATGTTAGCCCAGGTCTATGTTTTGCAGCATCTTAGTATAGCTATCGGGTCCAGATTGCTTCTGTTATTCATGCCAATGACCTCAGGTACCAGTTTGGTGGGAGACTAGGACTCTTGTTCCTTTGACTTGATGTTGGTTTGACTCGATGTTGGCACAGTCTGAGAGTATGCTGTGTGATCTGTGCTGGATTATCTGTTCTGTTGTCTTTGTGGTCTTCACCAGTTGTTTGAACTATTCCTTGAGAACACATTTGAAATCATCCTGCCTCCCTGAGCTTTTCACTCACATCTCAGCCCCTCAACCATATTCTTGAAGAACTAGACAGATGGGATGGGTCATGAGTGGGGTGGTATACAGTACAAAGCTTCCAGACACTGAAGAGATCAGGTTCAGGTGTTAAAAATTATAATTATTTTAAAAAGGCACATTGGTACTTGGGTCTTGATAGAAATCATTCTTACTCAAGTGGGGTTGACAGAGGAGTATTAGGTAGTTGTGGTTATGAGTCCGAAAAGCGTGTGATTCTGTTCCAGCGCCCAAAGAGATTTCAGGGGAAAATGTTCTGACATCTTCAACAAATTACCTTCATACATAGTTTTGACACTGTGCCCTATTAAGGACACACGTACAGTTGGTACCTTGAGGGAATAATTCAATATTTGGAAGAGAGTAGTAATAAAGAAACATTACGGTTGTATTCAACCTCTGTGGAATTAGTGTATAACCAAACTGCTTATCAGAAATGGTCATATGGGAGCTTTACTTAAATAAATTAGGAGCTGTTGCAAAGGGACTGTGGGATACCTTTGCCAAGTGGACCTCCCTCAAATGGAACACACCACATCCACATCTGACTCCATATGGAAAGAATCAGTGCAAGCCAGCCCTGGTTCAAGTTCAATCTTCACCACAAGCCAGACATATGGTTTTAGGCAGTTCACTGAAGCTCTCTGTGCCTCAGTTTCCTCAGCTGTAAATTGTGTATAATCAGATTGTCACCTCATTGTTAATATTTTTATCTTCTTAATGCAAGGAGAAGCTTGATATTACTTATCGTTTATGCAGCTGTGTGAGCATCTTCCAAAAATCTCCTTCGTGCACAGCACCACCACCATCAATACTGTGTCAATTAATAGTTATTATGTAGGACTATGATCCCTATCTCATTGCTTAGATTAAACTTATGGATGTTTGAGTGTGCAGGTCATCTGTAGGAATCAATGTTTAGTGCAAAGGAATAAGAGACAATGGATAGTCTCACAGTTCTGTTACAGTGCCTGAATGTTTACATATAGGTACATTCAAATGGCTTAAGTGATGGGGATATTTTCTGACCACCTGTATGGATCTTTTTGCTCTCTGAGATGTTAATGTTTTCCTTATATTTTATAGTAGCTCAGAACACAGCCAGTTTCTTGAGTAGGGTCCACATGGCTCATTATGCACAGGACCCAGAAACTGCCTGACTTGTGCTATTCAGATGAACAGTGACACTTAGCAGGGAGCTGAGTTCAGGCAGTAGGCAGAGGAACATACTCAATTATTTTTCCTCCTGCATTAAGCTATAAATAATGAACACTTTCCTGTGCTTTACAGTAAGCAATTAAAATAAATTATAGAGTTGGATGCAAAAATAACCCAAAGGACAACTGGATGTGTGGAATCACCAGTTTTCTCCATGCATGCAGAAGATTAATCCTCATTAACACTTAGAACATTGAGTTTCTACCGAAAGGGTTGCATGTCCATACATGTTTTGGCATCTACCCACACGCTTCTGTGTGGTGTGACTGTGCATCCCAGAAGAAGGGCTGTGGTGTGTGCCTCAGCACTCCAGTGGAATTGAACCAACTGATTCCTGAAAATGGTCTCATAAAGGTGAGCAACAAAGAGCTAACAACCCGGACCTGCTAATTGGATCTGTCCCCTAGGATTCTTGTGCTGGTTTGAAAAGTAATGTGATTCCTCTGTCTTCTTGCCTCCTCTTTCCAGTTTCTTCCCCAACCTACTTTCACCTCTCTTGCCATTTTAAATTCAGTATTCTATGTACTTCAGAGGATGGGGTCTAGAAAGGTCCCTTTTTGGTGAAAATTCTGCATCCCATTCTCATTTTAGTCCTTCTGAATTAATGATGTTGAACCTGCCAGCCTGGTCCAAGATATTCTTTCTCTAATGGAAACGCTGAGATAACTAATTAACCACAGGAATACATTGGCTATGGAAAGATTTCAGGTGCACCATCTGGAAAACTGGGAAGGGCAAGCCTTTACCACATCGCTGGGGTCCATTAGGGGTGACAGAGTCTAGTGGGGCATTGGCTCTCAGCTGTCAGCATTCCCATGGCATCTCATGGTAGAAACTCTGTGTCTAGCAAAGTTATTAAGAAACCTGTTGATTTAAAGTTGCCATTTCTGGAGAGAGAGACTGAAATATGTCAGACTGGTCTTAATTTTCTCTTTCTCTCTTAAAATTGTAACTGTTTTGGCATGTTCCCGAACCCCACATAATAGCAAACTTACTTTCCTAAAGAAGGATTCCCTTTATCAGATGGGGAGAGTGACTGCGTGTTCTCCCTTTTGGGACAGAGAATGGAGTTGAGTCATCCTTGCGTTATTTTTTGGTGTAGAGCATACTTATTCTTTGATGCTGAAAGACAGTACTCTGGTTTGCTTTCACAACATCTCCTGTTAGTAGATGTGCCTTGTATATAATTTGGAGGAGGTGGTCCCTAGCAGTATTGACGCCTGTACTTTTCAACTGGGTCTGAAGGTGAAACCCAGCAATACTTGAGATACCTCCTGGGAAAACAGGGTCCTTTGTTATTATCTCATTCCCACCCATTTGTTAATGAGTTAACAGCAATATTGTCAGGGTTCTCAGTGCAAGTTATTTGCGCTGAGGAACTTGATGACTTCTTGATGTTTGAAAACTCGCAATCTTTACAGTCATTTGCAAAAACACTAAAAGGGTGGAGTGTTAGCCAGCTCTGTTAACAAAACTGATGCTTCAACTCCCCAGAAATGTAACTTTTTACTATTTGTGGTACTTTAGTAGGGAAGCAAAAGATCTCAAATATTAGCTACCAACTGAGAAACTGGGTAACCTGCTGGGTGCCTTAATTAAAGTAGAGACAGATCTGGGTTAGAGAGGGGTTTCTGATGCTTTGTACTTCTACTAATGTATGAATATTTTACGGTTTTGCTGCTGCTGTCATATTTAGTGCGTTTTTGTCTTATTTTAAATTACATAGTATATGGTAGGAGAGAGATGGTTTTGTTGGTTTCAGGACAAGTCTAGAAATAAGCAATTCAGCATTGAGTGAGTGAGTCACTTCTCCCTGCCTGTCTCTACTTCACCATTTCAGAATAGAAAGAACTTATGTGAAACAGAGACAACTGGCTGAAAGTAATCTGACATCTGGCTGAAGTAAAGTGCCTGGAAAGCTACCACCTGCTGAAGCTAGTCATATCATTTCCTGTATGGTCTTAACTGACTGATTTTTAAAAAAATATTTATTTATTTATTTATTTATTTGAAAGTCAGAGTTACACAGAGAGAGGAGAGGCAGAGAGAGAGAGGCCTTCCATCCGATGGTTCACTCCCCAGATGGCCGCAACAGCCGGAGCTGTGCCGATCCAAAGCCAGGAGCTTCTTCCCGGTCTCCCATGTGGCTGCAGGGGCCCAAGGACTTGGGCCATCTTCTACTGCTTCCCCAGGCCATAGCAGACAGCTGGATCAGAAGTGGAGCAGCTGGTCTCGAACTGGCACCCATATGGGATGCTGGCGCTTCAGGCCAGGACATTAACCCACAGCCGACCCGACTGACTGACTGAAACAAGGCTGCATTAAGTGATTAGGCTGTCCCATTATGCTTGCACTTACCCTATAGCATTTAGGTAAAAGTTAGTGATTGAGTAGGAATCCAAATTTAGGTCAGCAGTGCTCTATAAATTCTTATCTTGCCAAACATGTTTATAGGTGTCCTGCATAAACACAATAGTGGAAAAGCCAGTTGACATAAAGGGAATGCAGATTTTTACTTAATAATATTATGAAAGCTAATATGTTTTCCCACATAATAAATAACCCAACAAAAGAAGTTGAACAGAGGAAGAAAAATGACAGGTTATCACATGGCATGCTGAAAAAGTAGTATAATATTTAAGTTGACTTTGACCCCTTTGTTGTTTCCTTATCTTACACAACTTCCTTTATCATTTAATCTAGTGCTTCTCAACTTTACTAAGTTTATGAATCACCTTGAGGTATATAAATCTTGTTGAAATGCAGGTTCTGTTGAGTAGTCAGGGTAGAGAGGATTGGCTGCATTCTGCTGGGAGCAGCTAAGAGTTTGCATTTCTTGTAAGTTCCTAGGTGATGCTTGTGCTACCGGCCCATTGATAACACTTTAAAAAGTAAAGTTGAGGTCGGTGTAGCGGCTCACTAGGCTAATCCTCCACCTGCGGCACCAGCACCCCGGGTTCTAGTCCCAGTTGGGGCGCCGGATTCTGTCCTGGTTGCTCCTCTTCCAGGCCAGCTCTCTGCTGTGGCCCGAGAAGGCAGTGGAGGATGGCCCTGGTGCTTGGGCCCTGCACCCTCAGGAGGAAGCACCTGGCTCCTAGTTTCGGCTCGGCACAGTGCACCGGCTGCAACTCACCAGCCGTAATGGCCACTTGGGGGGTGAACCAACGGAAATAGGAAGACCTTTCTCTCCGTCTCTCTCACACTAACTCTGCTTGTCAAAAAAAAAATAAAATAAAAATAAAAAATAAAAAAAAGTAAAGTTGAATTTAATTTCAGCTCCTGAAGTTTATCCCATACCTTTGTTTTCTAAAACTTTTTTAGTTCTCATAGATATCTCTTTTTGCTGGGGTATTTTAATGGCAAATTTGAGTTGTGTAAATATACTCAATTTATAGATATATGCATAAAATTCACACTTAAAGTTTTTATATAAATTCAAAAGTCTGTATATGCAACTGTAATTTAAATGCCTGTGTTATGTGACTTTTTTTCCCATTCATTATTTCCAGAGTCATTGCAGCTTTACAGGAATTGCCCCTGCCCCCATGACTTCACAGTAGTTGTGGAACACCTATCATCAAACATGATGTTTACTTGATAATTTTTCAGGTCCTTCATTACTGAAACTACATAGAACCCATTAGAATTAATTAAGTTCTTAATTAATGTCAGTATCTACCATGTGTGGGAATTTGGTAAGTAATACACTGTTAATTCTAAACTTTAGTGAATTGTAACAAATCCCACCTGAAATTCTCTTAAAGAAAATGAAGTCCACAGCTCTTGTCTATTCCATTGAGGAACAATGTTTTTTTTCTTTGTACTGTTTGTGGTACCCTTTTATTTAGTGTAGGGTTAACTATACAATCATTAAGTAAGCAAAAATTGTAAAAATTAAAAGTAGGAATGTGAGAGGGAGGAGGAAGAAGGATTGAAGTGTGGGTGGGAGGGAGAGTAGGGTAGGAAGTATCACTATTTCTAAATCTGTATATTTGAAATACATGAAACTTGTATAACCTATATTTTTCCGTTGGTTCACCCCCCAAATGGCCACCACGGCCGGCGTGCTGTGGCCCACGAGCTGCGCCGATCCAAAGCCAGGAGCCAGGTGCTTCCTCCTGGTCTCCCATGTGGGTGCAGGGCCCAAGCACTTAGGCCATCCTCCACTGCCTTCCTGGACCACAGCAGAGAGCTGGACTGGAAGAGGAGCAACTGGGATAGAATCTGGCACCCCAACTGGACTAGAACCTGGGGTGCCAGCGCTGCAGGTGGAGGATTAGCCAAGTGAGCCACGGCGCTGGCCAAAAAATAGTAGTTTTAAAATATAATCAGAAACATATTTGCTAACAGCCTACTTATTTGATATGCATGTCACTTGGGAATGCTTGGTGCCAAGACTTCTTTATAAAAGACTAAAGATGTGTACAGTTTTTTCTTTTATCCCCTACCCCAAGACTGATGACATTATTTCAGCTCACTTTAAGACTTACTGCTCTTACTTTAATTGCACCTCCCTAAATACTATGCAGATAATACCAGCACAAAGAGAATTAAGCCATTCAGGGTCAGAGGAACCTGGTTTGTACAGGGGACTATACAAATTGCTCCAGGTGGTAATTCAGGGAGAACATCCAATTCTTATGGAGCATATGGAGTAAATTTACTCTTAGAGAGGTGTAGGTCTCCTGCCAATAGAAAAATCCTTATTTTTTTCAGGGGTGAGATGAGGGAATATGAGCAGAGGAAGGCAAGAGGACTAGAGCTATGGTGATTTCTATCAAATATACGTATAAATTTATCCATCAAATTAATAATTCAGGGAAATAGTAGTTTTTTTTCTTATGGTAATTACATGTACTTACTACTCTTGGTATGAACTGAAAATGGGCCATTTCCTTGGCACTCTTAGTGAGGATAAGTAATGTTTGCAAGTGCCACTCAACACCATGGACACACCAGGGGATCAAAGGATACTCTGTATGAAGGACTGCATTTTGTGCAGAGTTGTGTTTGGGTTCTCTAGCGAGACAGAACCAATGCAATTTATATACACAGATAGAAGAGGGGCTTTATTAGAGAAAATTGCGCATGTGATTATAGAGGCCAAGAAGTTCCAGGACAGGCCATCTGCAAACTGGAGACCCTGGGATGCTGATAAAGTGGCTCAGTCCACGTCTGAAGGCCTGAGACCCTGGGGGTGGGAGTGGAGGCAGAGTGTAAGACCTGGAGTCTAAAGGCCTGGATTCTAACATCCAAGGGCAGGAAAGGAAGAGTGTATCCCAGCTCCAAGTCAGAGAAAAACCAATTTTATATTCTTCTGTTGCTGTTCTATCTGGGCTCCAAGCCAATTGTGT